TGTGTTTTTTGGCTTTTTTTTTTTTTTTTTTTTGTCTGTACCGGGGGTAGAACTTAGCAGCCCTACACTGAGCTACATCCCCACATCCCCAGCCCTTTCCTAATTTGTTTGTTTTTGGTTTTGGTTTTTTGAGACAAGGTCTCACTATGTAGTTGAGACTGACCTGGAACTCATTATGCAGCCCAGGCTGGTCTCAAAGGAAGTGATCCTCACGCCTCAGCCTCCCAAGTGCTGGGATTTACGTGCACCACCACGCCTGGCTCCTTTTCTAATTTTTTAAAGATTTTGAGATGGGGTCTCACTAAGTCTCTGTTACCCAGGTGGGGATAGAGCTTTCAATCCTCCTGCCTCAGCCTCCCAAGGTAGTGCTGGGATGTCAAGTGTGGACTGCCACACCGGGCAAGTTTCCAGCTCTTCACAGAATGTAAAATATATTTATCAAAATAAACAGTGAAGGGGGAAAAAGAACCACAGATGTTGACCAAAGCCAAGGCCCTGGTCTCCGAGGCTTTCGGCTCCATCAACTCTAAAAGAAAAGAAACCTCCAGAAAGAAGCAGAGTTACTGTGTCCCAAGTGGGGTCTCCCTAGAAACCCCCTTGTCTCTCCAGAGCCCTGGTCTGGGGACTTTCCCCCTCCTGCCCAGAGAAAGACATTCCCAAGGTCTTCCTGAGCTGACCTCTGGCCCCAGCCCCTCAGCCTCCTGCATGAACTTGGGTACAGGATCTCGCATGAAGACATACAGGTGACAAATCACCACAGAAAAGTCTTCATCATCACTGGGTGATAGGAAAACACAAGACAAAACCACAATAAATACTCAGTACCCCACCATCAGAAAGGCCAAAATAAAAATAGTGATAACACCAAGTGCTGGTGAAGATGTAGAAAAACTAAATCACTAACACATTGCTGAGAGGAACAAAAAATGTTAAGAGCCCCTCTGCAGAGAAGTTTGGCCCAACACCAGGAACTACAACACCAGGCGTGGTGTGGTGGCACACACCTGTCATCCCAGCACTTGGGAGGCTGAGGCAGGAGGATCATCCTGAGTACAAGGCTGACCTGTACTACATAGCTACATAGTGAGTTCAAGGCCAGCCTGAACTACCCAGCGAGATCCTGTCTCAAAACAAAAGAAAAAACAAAAAACTACACCACTGGGGAGGTTGAGGCAGGAAAATCACTATGAATTCAAGGTCAGCCTGGGCTACATAGTGAGTTCAAAACTGTCCTAAACTGCATAGTGAGACCCTATTTCAAAAAATAAAAAAAATCCAAATCCAGTACTTTTTGAGGGCAGACAATATGGTAAGTGGAAAATTCCACATGACCTCACATCAGGTCCCAGGCAAGACACGGGCATACCAAAAATATTCTGTAAAATTACCTTCATTGTATATAAAACACAACGGACTTGGATCTCCTCCCCAGAGCCTCTCGTTACATGCATGTAGATATTCTGAAATTGGAAAAGCCCTAAACCTCAAACACTGTGGTTCTAAGCATCCTGACAAGAGAGGCTGCACAGTGACACGCGACAACTTGGCTAAGCCCAAGGGATGGTTCTGAGCAACAGGAAGGAGCTGATCCAAAAAAGGTCACAGGGTTTGGTTCCATTTCCATACCATTCTAGAAATGACAAATTATAAAAGTGGCAAATAGCAATGGTTGTCAGTGGATCAGGAGGGTGTGGGGTGGACAAGCAGGTATGGCCACATAAGACATGGGCAGCCAGGCCTGTCATCCCAGCACTCGGGAGGCTGAGGCAGGAGGATCGCTGTGAGTTTGAGACCAGCCTGGGCTACATAATGAGTTCCAAGTCAGTCTCAGTCTCAACTACATAGTGAGACCCCGTCTCAAAAAACCAAATAAAAAAAAAATTATTATTTGTGAAGATGTGACCAATGAGCAGAACACAGTGACATGTAGAAGACAACTCTGTGTTACTTCTTTTTTTATTATTATTTTAAAAAATTTTTTTGGTACCAGGCGTCAAACTCGGGTCCTTGTGCTTGTGAGGCAAGCGGCGGAACCACTGAGCTAAATCCCCGGCCCTCTGTGTTACTTCTTATGACTATATATGGACCTATAGTTACCTCACAATAAAAAGTTTAGCTGAAAATAAAGTACAAATTCTTGAGTGGCACAGGGGTACCTGGGAGTCAAGCCAAGAGGACAACATTGAAGGTCCCCTCTCATATCTGCCTGGCACTGCCTTTGAGAAGGCCCCACGCCAGGCCTGGAGGTAGGACGGGGGGACAGTCAAAGCCCTACTGCCTCAACCTCCTCCCGCTCAGTCTGGGTCTCTGCTGGGGCTGCCAATCAGGGCACTCTAGTCCCATTCAATAGGAAAACTGGGCACAGCAAGCCAATCAGAGCTTCTTATTGGCAGCTAGAGGGGTGATTCCAAGTTTAAACAATGAGCCCCCTGGTACATGACTGGCCCACAACTGGGCACCTAAACTTGGCTGGTCAGCAAGAGTCCACTGGCAAACAGAGGGGGTCGTTCCTTCTGTTTTTATTTATTTTGGTTTTTTGAGACAGGGTCAGACAGACCTGGAACTCACTATGTAGCCCAGGCTGGTCTGGAACTCAGAGATCCTCCTGCCTCAGCCTCCTGAGTGCTGGGATTACAGGCGTGCACCACCACACCCAGCTTGGGGTGGTTCCTTCTTTAGAGGCAGGTCCCAGAATGTGGTTGGTCTGGACATGGGCACATGACTGTAGCCACTCAATCAGAGCCTGCTTGGATATTTTTTATTTTCCCCTGGAGTCAGAGAGGTTGCCCTCAGAGAAGCAGGACAGGCCTACTCAAGTGGTACAGAGTCTGGGAGGCTGAGGCAGGAGGATACAAAGTTAACTCCATCCTGGGCAACTTAACAAGATTGTGGTTCAAAAAATTAAAAAAGCTATAGGGTCCCATGGTCCCTCCTTGGCCAATCACTCATGTATCCTATGGGGCAACTATGCAGATACGCTAAGCAGCCCAAACTCAGAGAACACTAGGGGACCTTCTCCAGGATCTGATGTCTAGAAGAGACTCAGAGAAGAATCAGGGTGCACCCGTCCCTCTGGATCAGTGTCCTTGTCTGATTGTGGCTGCGGAGCCTCAGTCCCCTCTTCAGCATGCTGCCAGCACTCCTTCTGACCCAGGAATCCTGTTTGGGAAATACCTCAGGGACTAAACATGGAGGAGAGGAAAACAGCGGTGCTATTTATAGCGGAGGAAAACTGGACTCTCCCCAAAGGCCAACAATAGGGAAATAATTAAGCAAATGATGGGCTGCAGGGTGAGGGAGGAATCTTCAGGAGGGTAATGAAGGCTGGAAGGTGTCCCAGTGACAGCTGGAGGGAGGGCTGGGCAGTGCAGGGACAGTGCGGGGAGGGGAGGACAGACAGGAGCCCCACATGGCCACACTGACCCCAGCTGTGGGCCCTGGACACTGGCCAGGGATTCTGAGCTCCTGTTCCTCATGGTTTGTGAAAACCTCTTTGCATTCAATGCTCTGCTGAGTTAGGGTCCCCGCTGTCCCCACCCTGCCCACCTGAGCTCAGTAGCTCTGAACAACCCTGGTGGCTATTTGCTAGTTCAGCAGAAGCCAGGCTTGTTTTTTTTGTTGTTGTTTTGTTTTTTTTAGTTTTTGGTTTTTTTGAGACAGGGTCTCACTATGTAGTTGAGACTGACTTGGAACTCACTATGTAGCACAGGCTGGTCTCGAACTCACAGCAATCCTCCTGTCTCTCCATCACACTTCCCCTACTCCTTTAGACTATTTCTTCCTATTTCCCATTATCAGTACGCATTTTGCTCCTTATTTGCACTTTCAGTTTATTCACACTGGAGAAACTATTTGGTATTTACACGTGTGACTTGTTTATTTCACTTAAAAGTATGGCCTCAATATGTATCCATTGTATTTAAAAAAACAGACAAAAACTATATCTTCTTTTCTTCTTTATCCAGTCTCCAGTACTCCAGTAGATTTTTTTTTTTTTTTTTAAGAGACAGGGGCTTGCTATGTAGTTCAGCCTGGCCTTGAGCTCACTACACCTCAAACTCACAGTAACCCTCCTGCCTCAGTCTCCAGAGTGCTGGGATTACAGGCAGGCACCACCACTCCTGGCTCTCAGGCTTGTTGTTGCTGCCATCTACATACCCAGCCCTGCACCCTCTGGAACAGTATCTGTGTCCCAGTCCAGTCATACTTGCTCTGGGCAGAGGGACATGGACCCTGCTTATGGAAGAAGAGAAGGAAAGGGAAGTAGCCTGTGCTGCCCTGTGGTGAGCAGGCTGTGCTCTGTACCTGCTTTTCTGGCCTCCCCTAGCCCGATACCCCCATAAGGTCACCCACCCTGTCTTCTTTTCCCCTGTGGCAGAACCCTCAGCTGCCCAGGCCCAAGACCTCCTCACAAGCCTCTATGACGGAAGGAGGCCAGACTCTAATCTCTAGTTCTATAACTTGTGACACTTTATTCAGTCATCAAAACTCAGAAGGAAGAGCTGGGGTGCAGCTCAGTGGCAAAGTATGTGCATAGCATGAGTGAGGCCCCGGGTTCCATCCCCTACACCAAGAGAACGAGACAGAAGCCAGGTGTGGTGGCACAAGACTGTCATCCCAGCACTCTGGAAGGCTGAGACATGAGGGTTGCAAGTTCAAGCCCAGCCTGGGCAACTTAGTAATTTAGCAAGAAACTGTCTCAAAATAAAAAAGGCCTAAGTCCATCATGTTGGCACACACCTGTGACCCCAGCACTCAGGGGGCTGAGGCAACTTCAAGGCCAGCCTGGGCTACACAGTGAGCCAAAGCCAGCCTGAACTGGATAGCAAGACTGTCTCAAAAAAAATCTAAGTTTAAAAATTTTTTTAAAGTAAATAAGGAATTAAAACAGGCTGGTGATATAGCTCAGCAGGAAGGCCCTGGGTTCTATCCCCATTATGCTGCCCCCTCCAAAAAGAATGAGCTTCGAGGGTGGAGGATTTAGCCTCCACCGTCTCCTCAAAAGCACAAGATCCTGAATTCGATCCTGGTACCAAAAAAGACAACAAATTTAGTGAGAACTCCCCATGGAGCGTCACCATCACCGTCGCCCCATGGCAGGACTCGGGGAGCTGGGGGGGTGCACTCACCTGCAGGGGGGTCGGGCTATACAGGATGCCAGCGGGCGGGGGCTCGTGCTGTGGGTACTCCCGGTCCATGGCAGGCCCTACCGCGAGCATCAGGGGCAGGCGACCCCGGGCCACAGGTGGGCACGTCTATCTGGGCTTGGAGCTCCTTGGTGGTGGTGGCGGCGGCGGCATCATGCCCTGCAGAGAAAAACGCAGAGGTCATCCTGCAGTGGCCACACCAGTCAGCCGACCACCTCTCCCTCCTGACCTGCAAGCCTTGCGCCCCACCCTGGCATCTGCAGCTTCTGCCCTGACCTCTCCGGCTCAGCCCCAACTACACAAGTGAATGTGAGGCGCAGAGAGAACCCTCGGATAGCAGGCTGACCTTGGGATCTGCCATCTAAGGCCACAGGGGGATGGTCCACTCCAAGCTGGGGTCGTCCACAGCCCTGTCCTCGGCAGCCACACAGGGCAGTGCTGTCTCCTGAGGCGGTGAGGGGCTGAGCTGAGCCAGGAAGAGTGTTGAGCTTATTTGGGGGTCAGGAGACACAGTGCTCCACTGAGAGCGGTCCTCCACGGCCAGACTCCCGAGGATCACTGTGACCGCCCCCCCAGATCCCTGGACCCCCACCAGCTGAGAGCTGGGACCCCAGGCAGGGCCTGCAGGGTGGCAGACAGGCACGCCGGGAGGGCGGCGGCCCAGGACATTAATCATTGTGGAGGCAGGAAGGGGAGGCGCAGCCACCGCTCCCGGCCAAGCCCTGGAGTGTAGAAATCCTCAGGACTTCCAGTAATCGCCATGCAGCCACTCGCGTGGGCGCTTGTGCAACTGTGGGGGGAGGGGACAGCAGGCAGGAGGCACAGGGGCCAGGGCACCACCCTCCACTCTGCTCCGCCTGCCACAACACCGTCAATTCCTGCCAAAGGCTGGGATCCCAGGAGGGAGGCCCTGCTGCCTCCTGCCCTGCAGGCCGGCATAAAGCCCACAGTAAGCGACTGATACCTGGCACCTGGAGTCTTGGCTGCTTCCCATAAGAGGCACACCCCACGGACACCCTGGTGGCACCTGAGCTCTGCTGAGACTTAGTTTACCTCTGGAAATGGGCCGATGGGGCTAAAGAGACAAGGCTCACCAGGCACTCCTGCAGCTGCAAGCCGCAGCCCCTTTCCCCAAGAGCCCCGGAGGCTTCAGCGCAGGGACCCCTCCAGGAGGGGGACAGGTGGCCTAGGAAACCACCCCCAGCAGAGCCCTCCCCACACCTGCTCCCTTAGAAAGGACATCCCACTCCAAAAGGGACACCTCGGCTGCTGCTCAAGTGATCCCAGGGCCGCCCTCAAGGTTTTCTGTATGAGGGAACCCGCTTGGCCTTGAGCCGACCTCCATGTGCCAGGAAGCTTCTCCATCCTCTGGTCCTGAGCCCTGCCCACCTGCAGGTCCCCCCGGTAATGAGGGTTCCTGTCAGGAGCACCAGTGGCTCCGGTGTCAGTCAAGGTGAGGGGCGGGATAGGAAAAAGAGCTGAGAGTGTGGGAAAAGACAGGTCACCCAAAAACATGCACAAGGATGCTCACAGTGGCTCATTCATGATAGCCAGAAGGCAGAAACAGTCTTGGTGTCCATGGAATGACACACACAGCAAGGTGCAGTCACACGCTGGAATATTAGTCTGCCAGGAAAAGAGTGGGGTTGCGACACCACAGCAGGGACAGACCTTGAGGACTTGAGGACAATGCTAAATGAGAGATGCCAATCACAGAGGACACACTGTGGGCTCCACAGACAGGTAAACACAGGCAGGAAGTGGCCTCGTGGGCGCTCACTCCATGTCCCTCCCAGAGGAGCTGGGCTGTCCTGAACACGCCCTCACACTCTGCAACCCTCCCAGGTTCCCTGGCTTGGTCTCTACCACATGCCCTCCAGCCTCACCCCATGGCCCGTAGCTCTGGGGTCTGCACTCCCTGGACACCCTTCCTGCAGAACCCTTGGCTGCTTAAGACCAAGTTACGTCCCGGGAGGCACCCTGCAGGCCCCAGAATAAGCCCAGCGGTGCCACACCTGCCTGGCAAGCGCAAGGCCCTGGTTCGATCCCTAGTACTGAAAAAGAACAAAAAACAAACAAGAATAAGCCCAGCAGGGCAGCAAGCTGGGACATGGTGAAGTGTGTCACAGGCCCCGCTCTGCCACCTGGTGCCTATTTTTAGGTGTCTCTGGCCAGGCCGGGCATGAGTTGGTCACTGGGTCCCTGCAGAGAGGATGGGCCATGCTTTATAATCTCAGCTGACGTTTGAAGGAGTGAGCAGCTTCCTCTGGAAAAAACCTACCAAGTGAGTCATCGTGCAAGGGACCGATTACAACATGAAAGGCCATGCTGCAGGGGCAGCGAGTGGGCAGGCAGGGTCCCAGGAAGGGATCCCACAATGCGCCTGCCACCCATTTCTGAGCCTTTTCATGCCCTTTCTTGCTGGCCAGGCCTCAGCACAGGGCTGGATACCCGGACAAGCCCTGGAATCCCACCACTGACAGAGCACCGGCAGCTCAACCTCCTGGACATCTGACACAAGAACTGCTTCTCTCACTGCCATGGGACCAGCACCACTACTGTGCTGTTGGGAGGGTCTCCTTCAAGAAGAGGGGTGGGGAAGCCAGGGACCCACCATGGTGAAACCCTGCAGGCCTCTGTCTCCAGCTCCAGACCGGCCCACACTCACTTTCTTTTTCCTTCCTTCCTTCCTTCCTTCTGCAGTCCTGGAGATTGAAACCATGGCCTCTGTGCTAAGCTACATCCCAGGATTTTTACTTTTTATTTTTATTTATTTTTTTAGATGGGGTCTTACTATGTAATTCAGGCTGGCCTTGAACTTGCAGCGATCCTCCTGCCTCAGCCTCCTACGTGCTGAGATTACAGGTGTGCGCCACCATGCCCAGCTTTACTTTTTATTCTGAGACAGGGTCTCAGGCCAGGCTTAAACTTGTGTTCCTCCTACCTCAGCCTCCCAAAGTACTGTACTGGGAGTATAAGTCTACATCACATCTGGCTTTTTCTTCCCCTGGAGCTGGGGATGGAGTCCTATGGAAGTGCCCACCACTGATGGGGACAGAGGTCCCAGGACTCTGATCAGGCTCCAAAGGCTCATTCAGCAGCGTAAGCCCTAGAGGGCAGTTGCAGCTGTGATGACAGGTGTGCAGAGGCCACTGTATGGACCGTGAGGACCACAGGGCCTGAGGTCATCCGTTGGCCACAAGTCCCTTTCTCTGTGGTCCCCACCAGCAAGGGTCAGGTAGCCCACGTCCTGGGATCTGCCTGAGAAGGTGCTAGGGTCCCAGATGCAGTCACGCAACTAGGAGAGGCAGATTTCACAAGGCTTAGGGATGTGGGGCAGAAAGTGCACACACACACCCGTACACCTGGCCAGCTCTAGCCTTGGTGCCAGGACTGTCTGGTCAGGAAGGGACACCTGGGGCCCACAGGTGGAATAGCCAGGTGTGGCTGTGGGCTGTGGGCTTCCATAAGGCTTCGGACCACTTGGCAGGGGTCGATCCCCAGCAAGGGACACAAGCTAGGGACATCATGAGAGGTTCAGACCCCTGGGGTGGGCAGAGGGGAAGAAGCTGAAGTTGGCAGGATGAGTTCACTGCAGAGGGTGGCAAGGTTCAGGACAGGGTCCTTTCCTACATGTGGCAGCCACCCGACCTCTCTGTGGCAGCCATGGGTCCACCCCAGGCCAAGTGCGGGCTGTGGACACATGTCCTCCTGGTGCTGAGATGGACATCCCAGGACTACATCAATGCAAGCTGATTCAAGGGACCTAATCCACCTCCCTGGCTGGGTACTAGCAGCTACCTCTTACCTGCTTTGGCCTGAGGCTGACCAGCCACTCACCCAGGTCCCCGCAATCCTAGGCCAGCCACATCATACATCTCGGGGCCCCCAAGCCCACTGTATCCCCAGCAACACCCCACTAAGTCACCCAGGCTGGGCTCCAACTTGAGATCCTCCTGCCTCTGCTTCCCAGGGTGCTGGAATGATCGGAGCTGGGGACTCCTTCAATGGGTCTAACAGTTGAAGCCACTGGTATTGTCCTACAAATTATTGTGATACGTTAGGTCAACCAGTGGACTGTAGGCGGCGGGCCCCAAGGACCAGAGGGAAGGGACAGATAGTGGGTCATGAGGGAGCTTTCCAGAAAGCTCATGAGCACTGTCCTCAAATATAGATCCCACAGGCATCCCATCCACCAAGACCAGGGTTGAGGTCCCAGCCACAGTGGGTGAAAGGATAACTTCACATTATACAAATGGTTCTAAGCCCAGTATGGTGGCACGTGCCTGTCATCCCAGAACTGCGGGAGGCTGAGGCATGACGGCAGCAAGTTCTAGCACCACTTAAGTGACTCGGTGATTTAAAGAGACCCTGTCTTAAAATAAAAAAATAACAAGGGCTAGGGATGCGGCTCACTGTGAAGAACCTGGGTTCCACCCCCAGTACAACAACAACAAAGGGAAGTAAAGAAAAAAGTTCTCAAGTTCACTGCCAAAGTCACTGGGAAACTGTGCGGGTAGCCACCAGGTGTCCAGGAAGTGTCTGCAAAGTTCAGAGTGGCAGGAGAGGAGCCTCCCCCAGCCCTCCCCCCCAACTACCCGGTGGAGGTGGTCGCCAGTGGTGGCTCTGCAGACTCATGAAAGAATTATCAGGATGCGGAGGCCTCGTGCAGGGGCGGGGTGTGTGTGTGAAATCGAACCACTCCCCTCCAGGACCTGGGGACCAGCTTAGGACAGGGACACCGTGCGCTGGCAGGGAGCCATCCTGACCCCACAGCAGCTTAAGCCCTCACTGCTGCTCCTGAGGCTGGGGAGCCCTGCAGGGGCAGCATGATGGGGACAGGCCTGGCCCCTCAGTGAGTGCAGACTAAATTGTTCAGGCTGGGCTCAAACATGCAATCCTCCTGCCTCAGCCTCCTGAGTAGCTGGGATGAAAGCCCTGCACCACCACATTCAGCATTCCATTTTTGAAAAATGAGAAGCAGCGCTGCTATATGATAGGACTGATGTGGGCCGCCTCCCCAGGGGTGTGTGTGTGTGTGTGTGTGTGTGTGTGTGTGTGTGTGTATGCATATTTGTGTGTGCCTGTGTTTTGGCTAAATCTGCCATCTGTGTTTGTGTCATTATAATCACCTTTCTTTCAGGTCACCTAGTGCACCC